GAAATATTCTTTGTATGTTAAAATATGGTAAGCTACTGGCTCTCCCCACTCATTAACTTTTCACAGCCTAAACGTGAAGGTCATTGTTCAAATGTTAGTTTCTAAGGGAGGAGTCTCCTGAACTCCTTGGACAATGCTGTGAGCTCCCCAGCACACTAGTCATCCCTCTTAGCCTCTCATGTTCACTCTCCCACTAGACCAGTGATGGCAAACCTACAGTATGTATGCCACAGTGGGCTGTTTTTGTATTACTGAAAGCTCTAAAGGGCTTGCTATCATTGCTCTAAAATATAAAATGCCCCTCAGCAAGGGCCTTCACTTTGGTCTTCATCACTGTCTCCTTGCACCCAGCACAGGTCTAACAAATAAGGTATGTGATCAGCAAATGTGCAACATAGCTACAAATGCATTATGGATCAAGATGTAGATTTTACACAAAGTTTAAGACTAACTTAAAAGACTCCATTGATGCCACTGTTAGCTGTCCCTCAGACCATAACCCCACACCCTGTGGTAGATGTTCATGGATCCCCCCCTGCTTTCAGCAGTACCTGAGGGAATACTGTTTGAGAAGTCCTGGGTTACATCTAGGGGTCTTGTGCAAACAGTACACTAGCAAGCAATAAGGTGTTCTGAGACTCTACTAAACACAGACATTACAGGGATGTAAGGTCTGTACAGCTTGACCAACCCAACACTTTCAAGTTGTAGGTGAAATTTTATAAGAGAGAAGTAGGAATGAATGTCACAAGATGTATGAACAATATTATAAGAACTTTAGAAAAATCTCCAAACTAATGAACATTCATCTTTCATATGAAAAGGCAAGAATGGATAGGAGGTTAGAAAAAATATAATCGATCTTTTAACTGGTAATACAAAAAACACCTGCATTTCATAATGAGAACAAATATTGAATCAGAGCTATGTAGAAATCTATTTTGCTTGGTAAAACCCACTTTGAAACTTTCTCTATTTGTAGATCAGGAAGAACCTATATTTCTATGTTGGTGTTAAAATTGAAATTGATCTGCCTCTGTTTCTCAACAGCATCTCTGTCATACCCAACATCATGTTGTAGGATACTGGTACAGGCTGGTGAGTAGCAGCATTTTTAAACAACAATAACAACAGCCAAAATACCACAAAACTTAGAAGGTCACCAATCATGACATGACCTCGACAGGAGAGACAGTAATGAAATAAGGCCTTTATACCTAAATAACAGGTTAGTATATTTTACTGGCTAAATCTAGGGACCTGACAGGCCATCTTCACTGTGTCAAAAACACACTCACCCAACTGCTAAAATTAATAAAAAGGTTTCATCTTACTCTTCTAAAAGGATTCTCCGTTTATTATTTTTTCAACAGTGGGGACTTTCTGTCAATATAAGTAGATTTCAAATGTCAAGTAGGTCAGTAATAAAATGAAAAGACAGAAACTTTGAAGGAGATGTTTAAAAATAGGCTTTAAAAATGGGCCTTAGATAACTGACTGGAACACACTGTGAAAAGACTACTATAGTTAAATACATGAATATTAACAGGAAAAAACCCTGCTGTGTTCATAAATAGTTATGACTTGATGAAATAATTACAAATAATGTAAGTCAAAATTTTAGATTAGTTACAAGTGTTTATAATGATATTCTATCTTACAAAGCAAAACTGTTCTAAAACCCTGAAAGTTTCCACTGAAAAAGCTATTTACCTCACAAAGAATTTCTGCTCAAATATCTACTACTTTCTGGATTTTTTACAAATGAAAACTGGGAACTGACTGCCAGAAGGAAGAGTAACAGAATTTAAATATTAGGACTGTGATTTATAAAGCCCACATCTTGTTTTGTTTTTTGGCAGTGCTAGGGATGAACCCAGAGCCTTGCAGCATACGCTAGGGAAATTCTACCACTGAGTTAAACACCCAGCCTTTCTTCATTTTTGTTTTCAGACAGGGTCTCACTAAGTTTCCAGTGGCCTCAAACTTGTGATCTTTCCACCTCAGTCTCTTGGAATTACAATTGCATGCCACTGTTTCCAGCTAAGCCTTCATCTTGATTTAGCAATGAAATAGTTTAAATTCTAAGTTTATTGTTATTATTAAGTGAAGAGCAACACAATCAGTCTGGTAAAAGGCTAAGAGAAATTAAAGGCTTGTAGGTCAGGACAGAGGCGCACTGCTAGCCTATTTGAACTCTTGTTCTAGTGTAACCAGTCTCTCTAGTAAATAAGCAATGTGAGAACTACCGGCTCCACATGGTGCACATGAGTCCTCTAATTTCAAGTAGTATTTCCCCTCTTCTCACTCGAGTAACAGCAGCACAGAGACGTGGGGTTATGTACTCGGTCAGGTGAAAGCTGTGTGCTGAGAGTGCTGGCACTCTAATTCTGTCCTGGATATGGGACACAACAGGCACCTTCTTGCAAAGACTGAGCAGTCACTGTGGTAGGAGCTTAGGAAGTGCAGCATGCCCGGCTCTGACGTGGCACCTCTTCCCAACAAGTTCATGACTAAGTTCACGTATCACAATGGGCAAATGTTTCACAGCCAACTGTGAGCAGCAACAGATATTTTAGGTAAATGTATCTGTGTTTCCCTCTAGGACAAGAAGATTTTCCTCTTTTCATTAATCACCCTCTGAAAAAAAATCTACTCCACAAATATAAAGTTCAAAACAGTGCCACCTTCACCATGTTAACCTTAAACAAGTGTCTTGGCCAAACTGAAGATTCTTTTACTTCATGAGGCCAGATTTAATAAAGCAATTGAAAAAATTTATTTTAAAAAGCTTTGGGGATTAAGAAAATGGACAGTACAATTTAGGTAAATGTATTAATCTCAATTGGCTTCTCGAATAAGAAAAGGAATAAATAATGCAGATCAATGTTTCCCAGATAACGAGTCCTAAGTCTTTGCCAAGGATATGGCAAAGATGCTGATGGAAATGGCAGGGATGTGTTCACAAAGGTGAACATAAATAAATGCATGCATGATAAATGTGGATGTTGGGTAAAAACACAGATAAACAGGTATAAGATTGGACAGGGATGGCTGGCGACAGAAGGAAGACACTGGCTCAGCTGTATCTCAATAAGTTCATAGGGGTTTTATGGTCTAAAAAAAATCTGTGACAGCAGAATTTTTATAATGAAAGTTTAAAAAATTCTGTCTCATTCTTGGATAATTCATAATAATGCATTCTTGAATATAAAGAAGTATATCACAAAATACAGTTATGTTAAAAAACTAGAGACAAAACAAGGTAAAAAACCCCAAATTCTAAAGGAGGATGAGTACTTATTAAATATCTGTGAGTATCTGAAGCTCTTTAAAAGCTATTAGATTAGTTCCTGGAACCCCAAAACATCTACTTTCCCCTGGAAGAAGCTATGCCTCTTCAATCATCCCCTAAATGCAAAGAAGTTTGACTCCCATGCAATAGATAAAAGTCACCAAAAAAATGAACAAAAGAGGTGTTTGGAAAAACCAGAACACCATTCATCCCAGCTAACGACTTGTTCATTATGAGTGATGATGGATAAAGACTTCTCATGCTGAGATGAAATCAAGATTTATATGCATTGTTTCCTCTCCCAACTTGTGGGAAGATCATCATCATTTAATTCTATCTCTGCGGCCAGTGATGGGCATCCAGAGAGCTGGTTATCAAACGGCGCAGTCAGCTGGCAAAAGCCGAAACGTGCAGTTGGCACATCTGGACGGAGCCGCCACAGCCGAGGGTGAACAATGACTCCTGGCAAGCATCCAAATTGCTTGCAGACGCTAGCAGGTCTCATCTACAACTGCCCCTACCAGCATCTCTCTCTCTCTCTTTTTTATGAGAATCAGATTTTCATTGCTCCATTCAATTGCTCTCCTCTGCCATTTTTTACAGCTCTTATCGTTCCCCTGGAATATGGCCTTGAGACAGCTCATCCGTGTCCTTCACTGTGTTATCTCTTCTAACTTTTATTAAAACTTCAGCTTTCATCTGAAGATAGCTAATTAAATCTGGAACAGATTATATGCCTCCCCTTAAAAAGAGCACAAAACTATTTTCTTCAACCTGTGCAGTTCTTTTTTCCTCCTTTCCAAAAGGTGAAATCAAAGGTTTATAAGAAGTCTCTTTATTTACAAAGCTAAGATATTTGACATGTCATATATAGGCTGATTTACTGTAAAGGTGACTGTGGTATAACAAATCTTTAAGCTATTTCTCAAAATAATTCTCAATACTGGTAACGTTTTTTTCCTTGATGCTTTAATTTTATAGCTAATACCTTTAGACTATTTTGTACATAAACTTGGGTAACGAAGAGTCAGATTAACAGGTATTTGTGCACATCAAGTGACTTACCTTTTTCAAAAAATTTTAAGTTTTCCTCATCTGGTAAAAACAAACAGAAATTTTTCTTTTTTCCATTTCCAAAACACTAGTAACTAAAAGTTCTCCCATTGAAAATTATGTGAAAACATGAAATTAAAGCAGTGATTCCAGCTCAGGATTGATTCTGTTTTTAAGACAGTCTTACATCAACTAATGGTTAGCACAAATAGCTCTGTCTTAATTTACCCACATTATTAATGACAGAATGTCCATAAATGATGTAAACACATTCTTCTCACATATGCCACTGACCCAACCCCTTTCTGAGGCCCAGAGGAAGCTAAAAAAGAAAAAAACAAATCACCCTTTGTTTTGTTTTTGCTGTAGACTGGCTAACCAAATCTTCTAGCAATCATATCTGAAACAATTTAGGCAGCTGTCAGAACACATATACACACAAACACACACACACACACACACACACACACACACACGCTCTCTCATATCTGAGGCTCTTTGTTTTTTTTTTTTTTTGGTACCAGGGATCAAACTTGGGACCTTATGCTTGAGAGGCAGGTGGAAGAACCACTGAGCTAAATCCCCAGGCCCTTAGGCTCTTTTAACTAAGGGTTAAGGTTCCATTGCCAGGGTATGGTTTTAATTAACTCACCTGAAATTTTCTGGGATCCTTTTCTTCGCTTCACTGCCTTTAGCAAGATTTCCTTCATGGTGACCTTTGTGTTGTCCACCTGAATAAGGGAGAATCCATGAGCAGCATTTCTGTAGGAAAAGACAAGTATTAAATCATCTCCAGCATTCATCCAGAGATATTATTAAAATCTTCACTGCGTTTTAAAGTAAATATAGGTCAATGTATCAATTGTTCAAAAATGGGTTGAATAACTCTTCTAATGCTAGGCTAGGGGAGTGATGCATTCTAGTATAAGCAATTTCACTTGAAAGAGAGGTCATAGTTAGGGAAGTTTATCTCATTTATCTCAAATTGAACCGAACTGGTCTGTGTGGGTCAGTTGCACCATGGGTTCCCTGCAGCTAGGATTGACAACTGATAAAACTGGCTTGTGTCAGCAGACGTCACTGCAGGGAGATACTACCACCATCATAATAAGCTCATGATGCCCCACAGGAAAAACCTGGAGGAGGCGGGCAGGAGAAAAGATATCCTAAAGCATTTAGTAAAATCTCTCTCATATATATATCTTATATACACTACAGTAGGAATGGTTTCATCTACTTAGTCCTTAGCAAGTCAACGAAACATTAAATGAAGTATAAATAATTTTGAGAGAAGACACTGAAACTTCTTGTAAGCTTCTGATCAAATTGGGTGGGGGAAGGCTTCATCTAGCTAGGTAAAGTAGTTAATGAACAAGTACTCTAAAAACAGCAACCTATCTCCTAGGTGAGGTATAACCACTAAGACACTTAATTGCAATAGCAAGTATCACAAATACTACCCACTACGTTTGGGCACTGGAACAAAACAGGCCAATTCCAAGTAGCTCATGTAACAAACAGGACCCAAGTTTCCAAGTATGGAACATGGGAATTGCCACAAGGAATTTGGTTGCATTCCCATTTCCCCATAAGAATTTCAAGGGGAACGTGGCCAAAAAACATGGCAGAACTTCATACTGACAAGAAATCTGAAAGAAAAGCCAAGCCCCAAGCTAAGCCCTGGAAAAGCTCCCCAAGACAGCCTGGGAAGGGGCCTGAAGCCTAGGCTGAACCCAACCAGGTGGCTGGCTCACCACAGGGCTTCAGAGTGGTCTCAAAACTGAGAACCCAATTTGCTTCCCTAATACAGAGACATCTCTACAGTCCTCCTCTCCATACGGCTTGCTATTTAATCCTTGACATTCCATTTGTTAAAAAGCAAATGCCAATGCTGGTCTGGCCAGCACAATCATCCATTTTAACTTGGTCAAGTTCTTGCTATTGAACAGCAGGCCTGAGAACTGTCAAGCTAATTTTACTGAACACTGTTACTGAATCATGCCTGAGCTTCAGCCATTCTTTACCTCACAAGCTGGACCCCATCCTAGAACAATCTTTAAAAGTTTATTTTACTGATCAAAGCAAAATAAGAAATAGCTCTTTTTTAAAAAAAAAACTATATTTAGGGAGTGATGCAGTGATACTTTGGCAGGAGTACTGAAATGTAAAGTGCCTTGTGCATTTAAAAACTTGGGGTATTTGCTTTGGCGCTAGGCCAGTGTGTGTTTGGAACAAATGCCAATCAGCCACATTCAGATCTGCCTTCCCCTGCTTTCTCCTCAGACGTCAGTATGTGCTCCATCTGTGACAATATGTTGGGCGATGGATGAGCGGGGCCAAAAGGGAACACAAGTTCTTAGGTTCTCAAAAACTAGTTCTGGCCTAAACCTCATGAACTCCCATCCACCTGGTTCTACTTGAACTACTGTAGATTTAAGCTGACTCATAAATTGCTTACATTCTCTTCTGATCTGCTGCTGGCTGATAGCATTACTTTGGCCCAACACATTTACTTTTTTCAGCAAAAGCAGACTAACAGCTCAGAAAGAAGCCTTGTGTTTGGACTAACTTCCATAAATTAAAAGTGTCCTTTTAAAAGATTTTTGAACATAGAAAAATCCGCAGTGTGTATTTTTCTGTCATTTCACCAAAATGTACTTAGGTGACAAGGTTAAAGCAAGCAGAGGAAATCCCTGGCACTTATCATCCACAGGCATTACTGATAAATTGTGTGGTGGAGGAATAAAGGATTACCTTCTGTATTTTTTCATTACACTTTTCTTTTGTTACAGAATACATAAATCCATTGTGGCACAATGTAATATGTATCACCATGCTACACCTGCGGACGCTTCCGAGCGGCTGCCATGTCTGTGCAGTCAGGAATGATAAGTGAACCACCCGTGAATGTTAACGATAGTGATCATTCTGAGGTAACTCGGCTCTCCATCTTCCTTTACAGCCTCTGTGCTGAAGCCAGGGTAGCAAGGTTCATGAGAGGAAAATGAAAACAACAGTGAAGGGAAGGGGCACATGCGGCACTCAGAATGGGCCTTCACGGGGGTGCAAGATCTTACTCCAGGGCTCCATTTTTATAAAAACATGCACTCTGAAAGAAAAAGGCTCTGCTCCTATCCTGCACACTCAACCAGACCTAATGAAAGTTTCCTCAGGTCCGTCCCACACTTCACCACTCTTCCCCCTCCAGACCAGTGCAAACTTTGGATCTTGTTCCGTGTCTAGAGCACTGCAGAAGGGTGGAATGGGCAATGTCTTGGCTTCTGAGTGATACTCATATCCGCTTCTAAGATGAATGAGTAGGACTGTTAAGTGATTCTCAGTATCCATCTAGGTGTAACTGTTAAGTTATGCTTCCATTTAATAAATGGAAATGGAGACTTGCTACCACAATTTTCAGCTTGACTTCCAAACATTCTGGGTTTTATGCCTCATTTCTTTACATCCAGGGTTTTTTATGGGCTTTCTAAAAAGTCTATTCAAATACATCTTTTAAAGCCACTGTGTCATTGGAGGGCACTGAGTCTGAGACTGAGAAGACAACGATCTTGAGGGTAATTTGTGCTACTAGTCCTGCCTCCCTTCTCTAGGCTCTGATCTGCATAGGGGTGACCAGCCCAATACACAGGCGGGTCTCACACAGACACTGCTCTGCTCTCTGAAACTGCTCCCCTTGTGAACAGGCAGCTTGCTTCTCCCAGGCAGGGCCCTCTGGGGGTGCAAGAAGAGGTAGCTGCCTTCCCGAGGCTGAGGGCTGCCTGTGCTGGTGCAGGATGAAGCTCCACTTCAGGGAGCTGACTAAATGCTGCCAGGAGTGCTTCAGTCAATTCAGAGCTAGGCCCTGTCAAGTTTGTAACCACTGAAAAACGTACGGGCATTTAAAAAAGAGATTACTCACTTGAAGAATTCAGCACTGTGTCTGTGCAAAGACACTCAGTTACCAAAAAGAAGTTCTGATACCAGCATTAACCGGACACAATGAAGGTTCCTCTACTAAGTAGTAAGAGCGATAACAGGAGACAAGAAATGGGCACAGGTCTTCATCTGGACAGCTCCGATTCTCTGTATAGGGACAGAGCTGGAACCAGAACCCAAGTTGGAAGACAGGATATTGGAGAGGAAAGCACATGGGCTAGGAATTAAATATCCTTTGATAGAAATCCTGGTTCCACAGCTAAGCAAAATGTTGCCCTAAGGACCTCAGCAAAGGAGCTTCTGAATGTTATTTATGTTCCCTTGACCCATGTCATCATCCTGGGAGAAGAGGGCCCATCACACCCACCACCCAGGTTCTATGTACATTGCTTATTAGGAAGAATGGATCTTAACACTCACTGCATGTAACTGTTAACACAAGGGCATTAAAATATGTGTTTGCCAGGCTTAGTGGCAGCATTCAGGGAAAGTATCAGCAAATAGCCTCAGGTATCAGCATCTAAAACCTCCCTGAGGCTCAAGGGACAGCAATCTGGACTCAGTTTTCAGAGCTCTCCTCTTCGAGGGAGTAACCTACAGAAGAGATATGTTCTACCTTGACTTAATTCATTACCTCTGGCTGGAGACAGTGGAAATCAAAAATCATGGTGCTTATGCAGAGAAATTCAATGAGATTTACTAAGAGCTTTTTGATTTGCATAGTATACTGCTCACTGATTAACAATTATAAAAATAATAGCTGTAACTACTACTTATTGAACACTTACTATGTGCCCAGTGCTGTTTTAACCTTTTCTTTAAAAAATTATATTGAACTCATTTAATTCTGTAACAGGTATTGTCATTATACCATTTTACAGAAACTAAGGCTTGAGACATCAGGGAATTTACCTGAGGTCACTCATCTATTAAAGATCCTATTTGGGATTCAGAAATCAACAATATGGTTCTTAAATTATGTAGCACAGTCCAGTGGGAGAGAAAAAGAACCCAAGAAACTAAAATCAGAGTTCTTACTTCTTGGTAAGCACAAAGAGGGAGCCAAGCTAACAGTGCTGCTGAGACCCAGGGCTCAGAAAGCTTTCTAGGGTGGTTTAGCTCTACACCATGACATGAAAGACACTGGCAACACCAGAGAGTAGCAGAGCACAGCAAGCGCCAGAATAAAGCTCTGCTTTCACTGGGTAAAAGTCATTATCACTCTGACTTCATTTCCTCATGGACAAAATGGGAATGATAATTATTCTTAGACCGTAAAATTGTACTTCCAAAGTGTTTAGCATAACTCCATTGTAAATACTTAATAACCAATAACTAATAACTTTCTTCATATATACAGAGAAATGATATATAATGGGGAGACAAGGATAACAGTCAACATTTACTGAGCCCATCTTTATTTACATAGTCATTCACCAAAAGATAGGACCTATTTTATAGCCAGAAATTGAGGTTTGGCCAGGTTAAGAACCTTGCCTGGAGTTATGAGATGTTAGTAAATTACACTGGAGGGGCATGAAATTGAATTAGATGGTGAGCCTCCAAAGCCTGTGGTTTTTTGTTGGTTTTTTTGGTACTGGGGATCAAACTCAGGTCCTTGTGCTTGCAGGGCAGGTGGCGGCACCACTGAGCTAAATATCCAGCCCCAAAGCCTGTGTTTTTAACTCCTCGATAGCTCAGAAGGGAGACTGAGGGATTCTGGGAAAGAAGAAACTTTCAGAGAGCACATCCTCCAGATTGCAACCCCTGACCAATCTGTGGAAAAAGGCTGAATTCCCAGAATAGCAAATTCAATTTGATTAAAAATG